CTCACCACTTTTCTTTCTTTTCAACCATGTGATATTTCAGCTTTTATGCATACCTTCCCATGGGATAGTACTGATGAATTACTGCAGGAGCGAGATAAGAACTTGCCACAGAAACTCGTCTGGTGCTTAAGTAAAAAGATTATATTTTACTTTATTTTATTTTTATAGAAAAATATTTTTAAGGGAAAAAAGACACATCCACTGGGCAGCCTGAGGGAACCCTTTGCTTGGAGTTAAGGGGAAGTCCTATTCTCATTTGCTGAGTAGCCTGAAAGAGGGTAAGTTACTTACCTTAGTTCAGTTCCTCACAGGGACTGACTAGCAGGTCATGCTATAACTATGACTTCGCTTACACCAAGCATTTTCAGTTCTGAAATTTATTTGATCAAGCTAGACAAGGACATGCTCATAAATTTATAATTCAATTAAACCTTTAAAAAGTATAATTCAGTTTCACTGTTTTTACTTTGTGTTTGAAACCTATTTAAATTGTTAATTTCTATGTATTTGTACATAAATCATTATAACTGTTAAACTATAAGTAACATTTGGCTTTCTTATATATACGTACCTACATATTTTGTCCTTATTTGTGGATACTTATTTCGTGAAAGTAAAAGGAATGGCATACTAAGAGTGTCAAATATGAACATTTTTCTATCCCAGTTATTTTTTTAAAAAAGTATTTTGTTGAAAAGTCATCAGCATGTCTTTTACAGCAAATATAGATTTCATAGATTTCTAGGGTTAGAAGGCACCTGGTGGATCATTGGGTCTGGCAAGAAAGAGCACTGGAGATAAGTAACCCCAGCCAGATGCCTGTTTAATCTTTTCTTGAACACCTCCAAGGTAGGGGAAAGCACCACCTCCCTTGGAAGCCCATTCCATATTTTGGCAACCCTCACCATAAAGAATTTCTTCCTTATGTCCAATCTAAATCTGCTCTCCCTCAGTTTGTGGCCATTATTTTTGGTAACCCTGAGGGGCCCCCTGACAAGCAGAGTATCCCCTATTCCCTGCTGACCTCCCTGATGAGTTTGTAGGCAGCCACAAGATCACCTCTCAGCCTTCTCTTGTGGAGGCTGAAGAGATTCAGGTCCCACAGTCTGTCTTCATAGGGTCTTACCTGCAGGCCCTCAACCATACGAGTAGCCCTCCTCTGGACCCTCTCAAGGTTATCCACATCCCTCTTGAAATCTGGTGCCCAAAACTGGACACAGTACTCCATCTGCGGCCTCAGCAATGCTGCGTAGAGGGGAATTATCACTTCCCTAGACCTGTTTATGATGCACCCACTGACGCAAGAAAGAGTGCAGTTAGCCTTGCCTCGTCACACTGGCGACTTTTGTGTCACCCAGGACTCCAAGATTTCTTTCCACTGTTGTGGAACTCAGAACGGTACCCCCCAGTGTATAGGTGTGTTAGAGATTCTTTCTGCCCAGGTACAAAACCTTGCATTTATCCTTGCTAAATTTCATCCTATTCAGATCTGCCCACTTCCCCAGTCTATCCAAATCCACCTGAATTCACTCACTGCCCTCCAGAGGGATTACTATGACCCATTGTTTAGTGTCATCAGCGACTTTGGACAAGATGCTTTCAACACCTTCATCCAAATCACTGATGAAGATAGTAAACAGTACTGGTCCCAGGACATAGACTTGGGGGACTACTACTCACAACCCTCCAGGGAGAAACCAACTCACCCACCACCACTCCCTGGGAGCATCCCATAAGCCAGTTTTTTACCTGCCTTACTGTGAGAAAATCCACATTACAGCTACTCCATTTGCTCATGAGAATTAGGTGTGACACTGTGTCAAAAGCCTTTTTAAAATCCAAGTAAATAATGTCTATTTCCACTCTGGCACCTAAGCACTTTGTGACCTGGTCATAAAAAGAGACCAGGTCAGTCAGGAAGGATCTGCCTGCTATAAACCCATGCTGGTTGCCCCTTACCATTGTGTTACCTGCTGGCCCCCTGCAAATGTGATCCTTTATGATTTATTCTAAGGTCTTGCTGAGAATAGAGGTGAAGCTAACTGACCCATAATTACATGGGTCCTCCTTCCTCCCCTTCTTGAAAATAGGGACCACGTTGGCCCTTTTCCAGTCCTCTGGGACCTGTCCCAAGTGCCACGAGTGCTCAAACAGTTGTGCCAGTGGTTTTGCTATGGCATTGGCTAATTCCTTTAGTACTTGGGTAAAGATCATCGGGGCCTGCCAACTTAAATTCGTCCAACCCTTCCCCTTCACTAGGTCAGTGCTAACCGTTGGTGGATTGGTACTACTTTCACTCCCGACTAAAAACTCATTGGGAGGTGTATTTGTATCCATGTCCAGGAAAACAGAAGCAAATAAATTATTTAAGAGCTCTGCTTTTTCCATCCTATCAACCTTGTCAGTCTGTACACAAACAGTTTTGAGTCCCTATGAGAAACAACTGCTCTTCTGTTTGTTATTTCATACCTTCTATCAGGCTAAATCATAGAATCATCATAGAATCATAGAAAGTTAGAGTTGGAAGGGACTTCAGGAGGTCATCTAGTCCAACTCCCTGCTCAAAGCAGGACCAGGCCCAACTAGATCATCCCAGCCAAAGTTTTGTCTAGCCCAGTTTTGAAAACCTTCAAAGATGGAGCTTCCACCACTTCTCTGTTCCAGTGTTTTACTACCCTCCTAGTGAGAAAATTCTTCCTAATATCTAACCTAAACTTCCCTTGGTGCAACTTGAGAACATGGCTCCTTGTTCTGTCATCTGTCACCACTGAGAACACTTACCACTGAGAACTCCATTCTCTTTCGAACCCCCTTCAGGTAGTTAAAACAGCTATTAAGTCTCCTCTTAGTCTAGACTATCCTTTTCAAGACTAAATAAGCCCAGTTCCCCCAGTCTTTTCCCATAAGTCATGTCCCCCTGTCTCCTAACCAGGCGCAGCTGGTGAACTTAGACTGGTGGGGCAGTGGAGTGTCCCACAGGAGTGGGAAAGGCCCACCCTGCTCCTGGCCGGCTGCAGCCCCCACCTTCACCCTGCTCCCATGGGATGCTCCACTACCCCACCAGTCTGAGTTCACCAGGTGCACCTGTCCCTCACCATATTTGCTGTCCTCCACTGGACTCTCTTCAATTTGTCCACATCTTTTTGGTAGTGGGGGGCCCAAAACTGAACACAGTACTCCAGATGTGGCCTCACCAGTGCACAGTAGAGGGGAATAATTACTTCCCTGGACATACTAGCAACACACCTACCAATAGAGCCCTGAATCCCATTAGCCTTCTTGGCAAGTAGACACACTGCTGGCTCATATTCAGCTTATTGTCCACTGTAACCCCCAGGTCCTTTTCTGCAAAGCTGCTGCCCAGCAAGTCAGCCCCCAGCCTGTACTGGTGCATGGGATTTTTCTGCCCTAAATGCAGGACTTTGCACTTGTCCTCGCTGAACCTCATGAGATTTCTTTTGGCCCAGTCCTCCAATTTGTCTAGGTTACTCTGAATCCAAGCCCTACCCTCCAGCATATCTACTATTCTCCCCACAGCTTGGTGTCATCTGCAAACTTGCTGAGGGTGCACTCCATGCCATCTTCCAGGTCACTGATGAAAACATTGAACAAATCTGGCCCCAGGATCAACCCCTGGGGCACTCCACTTGATACCGGCTGGCTGCCAACTAGACATCGAGCCATTAGTTACTACTCATTAACCCCGATGCTCTAGCCAGTTTTCTATCCACCTTACAAGTCCATTCATCCAGCCCATACTTCCTTAGCTTGCCTGCAAGAATATTCTGAGAGACCATATCAAACACCATGCTAAAATCAAGGTACACCACATTCACAGAGCCAGTAATCTCATCACAGAAGGCAATCAGGTTGGTCAGGCATGACTCGGCCTTGATGAATCCATCCTGACTGTTCCTAACCACCTTCTTCTTCTCCAAGTGCTTAGAAGTAGATTCCTTTAGGATCTGTTCCAGGATCTTGACAGGAACCGAGGTAAGGCTGACTGGTCTGTGTGAGGAATTATCTTTTCTAAAGGTTTTTAAACACAATCATGTCATTTTATTCATGGTGCTTCAATGTCTGCAATGGATGAAACAATTAAACCAGTAAGCAATAAACAGCTAGCGTCTAATCACAGATTGCTATGTTAATGCTTAATGTGTGTTGCTCCTTCTGAAATCCACAAAATAATGTTTATACAATCTATTTAAAAACTTACATGGGACCAGGTTTTACTACTGTTTAAATCAGAAGGAAGGCCAATACAATCTCATATATTCTGACCAAAAAATTCTGATCTATGTCAGGGAGGCCTTAGCATGATGAGTGTGAAAACTTTCTCCTTATGTCCATAACTCTGATACACCTAAACACACTACCACCCTGAAGCTCAGTCTGAAGGTATTGACAAGACTTAACAAGACAAATTGAAGCATCACAGATGATTAGTTTCAAATGAGAGATATAGAGGGAGGAGGAAGGGAGGAAGAAAGAGAAAAAGGGAAGGGGTGGGGGAGACTATACAGTCAATATTGTATACAATTGCTGAGTGAGATGCTTTTTAATACAAAAAATGTTTTCTCTTTGATGGTTTGCTACCCTTTAAAAGGAATAACTTAGGGGAAAGGGAAAATAGAAATCTACTCCTTAAAAAATGAAATCAGCTTGTTCTGGCATTTCAGGTACCCTACAGACTTCATGCATCCCAAAATCCTGAACCTAATATAAATCTCAGTATAATCCCAGACTCTTTTGCTGATGAAATAAATTTATTATAGCATTCTTTTTCTTTTTAGAAGAGAAACATGAGTCTTCAAGAGTTGTGTTTGCTATAAGGCACTGAACACTCTTAACTTCTCTGGAATTGATGCAGGAGGTATCTCAATGTCTCACAGAATTTACCCTAAACTGTTTATATTGATTGCTGTTGCATAGACAAAGTGAGCCTCTTTAATTGTACCTTTAAATTGGATTTAAATGATGAACAGTACATCGTTGGAGAATTAAAAAGTTCAAATTTTAATGTTAATGACTATAATGATGAGAAATGAAGGCAAATTAATATTATAATCATTTTGTATACATTCCATTTTACACACACCTGGAAACTGTTGACTTTTTTCGATGTTTTAGTATCTTCTAATGGGAAAAACACCAAGTTACAAGCACATAAAAATCAATAATCAATGTGGTGAGATTACTTTTCATTATCCCAACATTTTTTAGGATATGTATTTCATGAACAAGCACATTCACATTAAAGGACAGTGATGCAAATTGGAGTGTTGTATTGAAATATTACTAAATTAACTTTAAATTAGCTGTGTTTATTGATTATTGACAGCTGAGATTACTAAATAGTGACAGATAAGATTACTGAGTATTGATTACTATTTTAATAAGTAATGAGAAATACATAACAGAAAAATGATGCTATCATATAGCTGTGATCTTTAGTTTTATTTGATATTGTATCCAATATTAAATTTTACCACTTAATTTATCCCAATAAGCAGAGGTTAATGAATGTTCTTATTAGAGAAAGTCTAATAATAGCACAAAACAACTACATATTTGTAACGTCATTGTATTTACAGCCATGCAAGTTTAGTTATCTTTTCGAGTGCTTACCTTGAATTCTGTTAAGAAGAGAAATAAAGTCACACAAATGCCAGTCAGCAAGTCTTCACAGGTTTAGACCAAAACTTTTCTCATGGATTTTCTCTGAAATTCCACTTATATCTACTACCCCTTTTACTGTAGTATAATTTCTCAGTGGTGATTATGGTTTAACAATGAGCATTTTAATATTAAGTAGCATATAGGGGGAACCCATTCTAGGGCAGATGCAAAGATTCTAAGATGGATCAGCAGCAAAGACTAAACATTGGTACTAACAAATTAATATTTATATTATGGACACACACACAGGCTTACAGGGTGTGAATTTAACAGAAAAAATTAAGAAAAAACTCAATGAGTAAAATGAACTGTGAATCAGCAGCAGAGCTTGTGGAATGGAAAGAGAATTCCAAAGGAAGAGGAATTCACACTGGGTATGGGTAGCTAGGTCAAAATGGTTCATGTTCAGGGGCATTTTTATTCCTATTTAGCGAAATCTAGAGAGACTAATAGACGTTGTATGGACTTGGGTTTTACATGTCAGGGATGAAAGAGCACTTAGATTAGTCAGACTATATTACCTTACAGGATAAGCAAGAAACCATCCTGAATCCAAATAATTTAGAGCAATATATATTAAAATATGGCAATGTCATGTTCATGAAGCTCAACAGGCATATTTTTGTCTTCAAATACAGCATTTTACTGAGACCCAGTGAGTAAAAACTACAGGTGTTAAATATGCAATTTCTCTTATAAATTCAGATCTAACCATGCAATATATTTATTTGCTAGTCTGTGCCCTAGAGCGAGATTAGTTGGACTTGTAATAAACATTAAAGCCCCATGAAATGCATCTTCAATGTGGTCATGTGTTACTTGAATTCCTGCTTCCCTAAGTCGTGAGACATACATGATTCCATCGTCCCTTAAGACATCATGTTGACACGTGAGGACATATGTCAGAGGTAAGCCTTGTAATTTAACATTATCAGCTAACAGTGGTGCTGCTCTTGGATCCAGAAACCCTGGATATTTTTCTCCAAACTTAGAACTTCCATAAATTGGGCCCTTATAAGTGTGGTCCTTTTTAAACTTTTCAGGCAGCCAGTTGCTCCAGTTTACAAATGCAAATAAATGGCTTGATTCTTCAGGGACATGACTGTTGGAAGCCATTGCTTCATTAAGAGAGGTGTCATTAGTAAAATATTCACTCCAGAACCTGACCATTAATGACTTGGGTAGAATCGGCTTGTCTTCATTATCTTGATAGGATGGTAAATCCAAATCAAGTGTCTGAAGAGCTGGATAAAGTAAAGCTTGTGTCTTAAGTTTAATTTTGACTTCAGGGTCATCCAGCAGCTGTAAAAATTAGAATTATTCCATAATCAATTCAACGGCTTTAGCACCAACACACAATGAAGATGAAGATCCAACACACAATGAAGGGAATGTAATTAACATATTTATTATTTTCCAGTATATGCAACGTAATACAGATTAATTTTAAAAAATCTTCAATTCATAGAAATGTCACCTGAAACAATATGTTGAATAGCAATTCTAACCATATCTGGAATGTTAAGAACTGTTTTGTCATAGGTGCTCTTAAAAATATAGTCCCTTATTATTTTATATATTGAATGAAAAGAATACATCTGAAAGGGTTCTTTAATTGACATTAATTCAAAGTCACTGGTGCTTGTCTAATGAGTAAAAATTACTACATAGAAACATCCATGATTTATAAACTGCAGACTTTTGAGGCTTCATTAATTATTTCACAGTACATAGACTTCATCCACTCTGTCTTATTAAACCTGAGGAGAGTTTAGGGTGCTCATAATTAAGCTTGCATGCATCCTGAACACACAAAAAACAAAATGAGTGGACAAAGTAAATGAAAAAACCTGGCCACTTAAATGTCATCCTTTCTTTTGAGAGGAGACCCTAGCCTTCTCTCTTGTTTTGTGGCTGTAGCGGCAAGAGTTTATTTACATTTAATTTGTAACAAAACATTGTTATAGAGGTAGATTGCACTGACAACCCACTCATATTTGTTTGCTTTTTGCAGTTGTACTTCAAACTGGGTATGTCTACATGTGCAATTAATATGAAGCAATAAACTCAAGAGTTTATTGCTTCAATAGGCAATGCGTAGGGGGAGCATAGAGGATAATGTGCCCCCCCAGAGACTGGCATTGCTGGCTGGGGGGGGTGATGGCCAGTGCCCCCCCTGAGAATGTGGGGGCATTGAGAGAAGTGCTGGTGGCACTTCCAGTTTGCCATTCACTGCTGGGGGACCCCTCCCTAGTCAGCAATCAGCTGCTGGGGGACACCCCCCTAGTTGGCAATTGGCTCCTGGTGCCCCTCCCCCAGGTTCAGGAGGCACTAGTTGCCCATGATTGCTTCAGAGTTTATTCCTCCCAGGCACACCATTTGAACATGAGTCTGGGAGTGATACACTCTGGAGCAACAAATTCCAAAGTTTATTGCCATTTGAACATGTACCTGGGAGTGCAGCACATTGAGCTGGGTCAAGCATCCCTGGCTGGTTAGGGGTCTAAGGAATCATCTTGCTAGCCCAGGGCTGCTTCCCCTAGCTCAGCTTGCTGTAGAGGGGCTGGCTAGAGCATAAGGATGCTTCAGGGTGGGGGCTAGCTGGCAGGCAGCACTGCTGCAGAGTTTGTTAGTTTACTCCTGCTTAATAGGGACAAATGTGTAGACACTGAGACATTTACTATGCAACTAATTAATCTACTGAGCAGTAAACATCTTGTGTAGACACACCAACAAAATGGAGTACATTCTGCAAGCTTTTTTTCAAAGAATATTCCTAATACAGTCAACATAAAAGGAGTTTTGTCTGAATACAGGCCATGTGACATGACCAAATTATATTATGAAATTCATCTTTTTCTTTCCCCGAATTCAGATTTGGGGAAAGCCAACCAGAGCATGTAGTGGTATCAAGTGCATGGGTTATCAGTGACTGCTACTGTGTTATTAAGTGGTAGCATTAGAAATAGTAGATATCAGGAAAACCTTCTTCACTGTTGGGACAGTGAGGCAGTGGAATAAACTGTCTAAGGAAGTTGGATGTTGGAAGCTGGTCAGGGATAATCTAGGTGAAGTTATGCCTATGTTCTACTATGGGGATTTCCAGTGCTTTTAGGGTTTGCTGATTGCTGCATGAGACAGTTCCCACCCTTCCCTCCCCCTGCTCCTCTTCCCCACCCCCACTGCTTCACATGTCAGGTTTTTGGGGCTTTTTTGTTTTTTTTTAAGCCGGCTCCAGAGGCACTGGCTATTAGCTACAACTGAGGCTGGGGATTTTGACTCAGGTACACAAATGCTCCTGCTGGGACTTACAGCTGGAAGTTCTCAGCTAGAGAGTCTTTCCCCTCTGCTCAGGGTCAGACCAATAACCAAATTTGGGGTCAAGAAGGAATTTTACTCCCTGGTCAGATTGATATGGACTGTAATGGGTTTTGTCTTCCTCTGTGGAAGCGGGGAGGAGGAAAGGGCAATTACCATCTTTCTGGGATATCTTGTGCATATTATAACAGACTTGTGGCTTATAAAGACATTGGTCACTGTGGTCCTCCTTATTTACCTGTGGCCTCAGGCATGAGGTTGGACTAGATGACCTCTCGAGGTCCCTTCTAGCCCTATTTCTCTATCATTCTATGGTTCCATGGAAATTAAATTGTGCTAAAGCAGTTTGCTCAGCCTCAGACACAAAACACTTGCCCACGGAACTTGAGATATTTATCCACTGGCAGTCTGATTCAGAACTCACACATACCAGACGTGAAAGATAACTGGGAGGTTGATTAGTTCGTGTGTGATAATTGTGGGTTTTAAAAATATATTTTGTTTAAAATAATCCAGTAAGAAAAATTAGCAGAACAAAGTCCTTAAACCTGTAAAATATAAATAACCTACCTCCTGTGCCACTGCAGCAGCTAAGTTACCTCCAGAACTATCTCCTGCAACACTGATCCGAGATGGGTCTACTCCGTATTGTGCAAGTATATTATTTTGTAGGAAGAACTTCAATACCATGTACACATCTTCAAACTGAGCCGGGAAATGATATTTAGGTGCTAGTCTGTATCTTTGGGAACATAAGGGCATGTTATTGTTCTATCACTGCTTGAGGAAAGAGACACACTTAATTTTACACTTGTGAATTTTAATGAAAATAAACCCATTTATACAATGGAAACTTTTTTCATTTTCTATGTGAAATAAGTTCCAAGTTGCTGTTTTGTTTTGTTTTGTTTTGTTTTGTTTTGTTTTGTTTTGTTTTGTTTTGTTTTGGGGGGGGGTTGGCAGGGGGAGGTTGACCCCACAATACAGAAGTTTCAAGAATTTGTATGTATTTATTAAATTTACCAGAAATAGCAACAGTTTGTTACTGGGCCTCTTCTTTCTAATCTGCTGAAGCAGTATACAAATCCTGAGCTCAGGGAGATATTATCCTAAATGATTCAAAATTAATATTGAAGTCCCAATGTTCTGTGATTAACATCCAACTACAACAATTTCCTAATAGATTTATGTCATTGCTGTAATAATACCTTTATTCTACTGAGAGGCCATTTGCAATAAGAAGCACCATTTGTCTGGTATTGCTGAGATCAAAACATTCTTGGAAAATACTGCAAATCTTAAAACTCAGCTGCTATATACATACTATCCTTGCCCTGTGTTTTCCTTAAAAATATGTGTAATCAAAATGATACTACTGATTATAATAGTTGTGTTAAGAGCTCAGTGATATTGTAATGCAAGAGAAAATATGGAGAAAGTTAATTATTTCTGCATAATTTAAACAAAGGTAACACATTTGATTTAAATATAATTAATGAATGTTTGAACCCATTATTGGGAGCTGAAGAATAACCCTGTCTCAGTAGTTACCCTAAGGCAAATGCATACCATGAAACAGTCACTGCTAAAGACAAAAGATCCTGCTTGCTTTCCAGACTTATGTATAAGGAGATCCACCAGGCTTCACACCTTGAGATTTTTACATAATCAGAAAGATTTATGTGCCTTGCCTTCTTTTTCATTCAACTGAAATCCAAGGCAAAACCATGTTTAATTAAAAAGAAAAAAAATGGAAAAAATATGTCCAGCACATGAATGAACATGACTTGCTCAGGAGAAACCAACATGGCTTTGTCAAAGGGAAATCACATCTCACTAACCTATTAGAGTTCTTTTGAGGGTGTCAAGAAGCAGAGGGATTATGGTGATCCAGCTGACATAATATATATCTGGACTTCCAAATATAGCATGTGGAGGGTCCCCCTGCACTCCTGTGGGCTGCTCCATCTGCCCCAGCATTGCAGCTTTCACAAGCCACACTGATACCTCGAGGCATGTAGAAAAAAATGTAAAGCTGTGTCTATGTCCATATCGCTGATTCTCTGAATCAGCATCGAATCTTCAGATTTGGATTCAGCTGAATTGAATCAGGGACAGTGATCCGAATCAATGAATCAAATCATTGTCCTTGACTTGGGCCGAATGCGAATTGAATAGGGCCTGCTTCGCACACCCCTATTGTTTAGGTATTCCAGTCTTCCACCTTTAACGGGTTCTGCTTCATAATGTAAATGTAGTTCTCTGCTTTCTTTGGTCACGCTAACTCAAACTGCCTGTGACCCTTGCTTGTTCTTCTGTCTCCAGCACATACATGTGATGACTGTGCCAGGTCTTTGCCCACATCTCCCACCTCTCAGCCGGGTCCTGCAGAGCTTGGCTCTGTGCTTACAGGTGGCCCGGGACCAGCCCCGTTCCCCAGCCTCTTCCCCCTCCCCCACGGCCTGGGGGAGCTGAAGGGAATTATGCCCCCTCCCCTTATCAACTGCTTGCTCCAGTCTCTGTCAGAGATGGGAGGGGTGGAGTCTGCTGGTCTTCTGCCAATTGTAAATGTAGTTCTCTGCTTTCTTTGGTCACACCAGCCCAAGCAGTCCCTCTCCTGTTCCCTTAGCTCTATCTCCAGCACGTATGCACTGATTGTGTCAGGTCTTTGCCAGCAACTCCCACCTCTCAGTCTGATCCTGCAGGGCTTGGTGCCAGCATACTGAGTGGGGGACAGGAGATTAAAGCCCCTCCCAGTCCCCACTCAGGGATTGCCTGGGGGGTACAGTCCCTCTCAGGCTGTTGCCCACCCATGCCTCATGCCCTGCTCCAACAGAAAGCAGGGGGCATGGGCAACAAACTGAGCTGTGGAAGTGGGAAACTAAAGCCTCTCCCAAACCCCACCCAGGGTTTGCCTGGGGGGCAGTCCCTTTCAGGCTGTTGCCTGCCTGCACCCCATGCCCTGATATAGGAGAAAGGAGGGGGTGTGGGCAGCACATTGAGGTGGGTAAGGGAGGATTAAAGCACGTCCAAGACTCCATCAGGGGTTTGCCTAGGGGAGGCAGTGCCTCTCAGGCTATTGCCCTGCTCAGCTCACCCCACCCCAGAGGAAAAAGGTCTGACAGGGGCTGCCTCCTCAGGCAGACCCAGCTGCCATCCCCAGACAGGTTTTCCATCCCCACCCTCTTGTCAGCTAGACTCACTGCTCTGGCTAGAGACTAGAGGGGCAGAGCCAACCTTGCTTTCTGGAGCAGACAGCATAATCCAGCCCAGGGCTGCAAAGCATGCAGAGAGACTCTGTTTTAACTTAAACTGGGACAGAAGTTCCATAAACTGGTTTGACCTCAATCAGCTAAGACTGATACTACATCCATCCAGGTTTATCTTAAACAAGTTTCAGCCATTTTGAAACAGGTTTATGTGCGCTGAAATTCTGTTCTTTTACAGGTTTAAACCAGTTTCAGATCACTTAAACTAGCTTATGTGTCATTTTGTTCCTAGCCGTACAGTTTAGAAGACATACAATTTGGGGTGGGGGACATGATAAAGGTTTACAAAATACTAAATGGCAAAGAGAAAGTAAATAAGGATTTATTGTTTACTCTCTCTCTCTCTCACAATATAAGAACTAGGGGTCACAAAATGAAACTAGTAAGTAGTAAGCTTAGAACTTTCTTTTGTGAAGTGGTTTTTTTTCCAGTGTCATTAAAGTATGGAACACATTGCCACAAGATGTTGTGAAGCTAACAGTTTAGCCATATTCAAAAAGGAATTTAATACATTCTTGAAGTAGCTATTCTTGGAGTAATTATCACTAGCTATTGAGCACCTCCTTCTCATTTCTGAGCTTGAGGAAAGCACTGTGAACAATTGGACTAGGGACAGAAATTACACATAAACTGGTTTAAGTAATCAGAAACTCGTTTAAACCTGTAACAAAACAGAAGGTCAGCACACATAAATCAATTGCAAAATGTCTGAAATTGGTTTAAGATAAACCTGGTTGAATATCGTATCATATTTAACTGAGTTGGGTCAAATTGGTTTATGAAACTTCTGAGCCAGACCCCTTCCTGGTTCAAGTTAAATCACAGCCCTCAAGCATCCCAGTATGCTTTCCAGCCCTGGGCTAATCTGTGCTGTCTGCTCCAGCAGAGAAGGTCTGGGCAGTGGGGAGGAAGGAAGGGATTGTCCCCCACCACCCCCAGCTGGGGTCAGGGGCCAGACAAGTGGGTTAAACTTCCCTTCCCTGAGTACAGAGATGCTAAAGTTATTGCTGGCTGTGACTGTGGACTACAAAGTCCAGAGGTATCTGGAAGCAGGAAGAGGAAGTGATGAACAACCCTGCATGTGATGGCCAGAAATAAAAGGGATTAATAAGCAACTTATAGCAAAAAAAGATCTGCTTCTTGGAAGTATCTGGTAATGGCATATAGTTAATATTAGCTAAGGCAAAGTTTGCAAGATTGTTTCCTGCACACGTATCCTGTCTGTCAGAAGCATAACCATAATGTTAAAATTAACTTTCTGTACCAAGTACAAGACTAACATGGGCCACAAGAAGCGGAACTAGAAAACAACACTGCAAACTTTAGCTGATCTAACAATTTTTGCTTAAAAGTCAGTAAAATTGACAAACCTGACCACAAGATATAATTAACACATTTCAAAAAATTCCAAGTGGGTTGAATTTAGGCAGGAAAAAATGATAATCTCAGACCCCAAAGTAATGTGGTGTAATTTGCTTATTGGTTAAACCCAAGTTTAGGCAGTAACCTATTATAATAATTTCTAATACCTTTTAACCCCATAGGGTAACGGCTGTAGGGTAAGACTGTGAGTGGCTCTAAAGCCAACAGATTAGCATAGGACAGGATACAAAGGAACACGCACATCAGGTGACCAGTAGGAAGGATGGAACAGAATCCTCATTGCTGTTCCAAGCCAGACTCCCAGTGTGAGCAAGAACCAGATCCTGACTGAGGGACCTTCCCCGGTGCTCCCTCCAACAGCATGGATCGGGGATAAGAAGTAGTTTATATCTATAAATTTAGGGCTTGGAGTTATGTGGTTGCAAAAACTGCAAGGATTTTGATGGTGAACTCTGTGAAATAGTAGGATTTGGGCATGCTTTTGTGAAGTGTCTGAGTAGGAAAACTTCTTCCCTTCAGCATAAACAGAAAGACTCCCTGGTTCTCATATCACATGCAGGTCATATTCATAAAACCCTTCCCAACAGTGATTTTATATGTATAAAAGCAGTCTTTGTGTTAGATTTTTCATATCTGGACCCTGTGCTCCTTGCAGACAAGCAGACAGGAGCCAACTTGCAGATCTCTTCCTTGGGTAGGTTGAGAAGACTAGCATTGAATTAATTCATTTTAAGGCTATGAGAAAGTACAACTGAATTCAGTTATAGTGGAGTGAAGGTTTGGGGAGAAAGGGAAAGAAAAGTTAGTAATTAAAAACCAATTCAGTCATGTTTTTATTTGTATATTTTGTGTAAAAAGAACTGTCTTATGATAGATTGCTAGACAAATGCAAACTTGGGAACAAATCAGTTAAATAAGCAATAAGAATAAGCCATTTTTAAAATAAGTAAGCACCCTTTAAGTGCCCTTTTCAGAGCTCACGTTTTACATTTTTGTATCATTGAAACTGACTTTATTTTAAAAGCTCTCACTCTTCTTTAACCAAACTTACAACAGGAATAAAGTTGTATAGTTGTATTACACATCCCTGCATCCTGTAGCACTGAATCACAATAGTTATATATATATATATATATAAAACAACAAAAGATGTAGCTATCCCAAATCCTAATTTGCTTTAGAAACAGAATTTTTCTTACTCGACTGATACGACAACTGCATTTAGCTTGTTTGAAGTCCATCTCGACAGGAGGTCATAGGGCTCCATGGCTGAAATGAAACAAGTCACTTCAAGCATAGTCAGTTACAGTTAAAAACAAATATGTAAAATATGGCATGTGACTTTTGGCAGACACTTGCCAGGCACTTTCCAAAACCTCCACAGTTCAGTGCCTTCACAGCAGCATAATGCAATGAATGCACACACAGCTTTATCTAGCAGTAGAGATTAAACAAATGATTATACTGTAGTTTGAACATTATCCAAGGGGACATCCATGAAAAAGCAGTACGTTATTTAAATTCTCAAGTGCAATGCATAAAACAAAGTCCTGAAAGCTTGAATTTTATAGCAAGGAAAAAAAGAAAGTCCAAGCTAAGCCAGGGGATGAGTTCATGAGTGCATCCAGGCTGAAATTAGAGAGGTTGCCTGAGCTCTACTGAGAGCAGAATTTGGCTCAGTCTCTACAACCCCGGCAATTAGCGTTCCTATAAGCCTGGCAGTTAGTGTCCTACAAGTAGAGAACAATGCAATGTGAGCTCCTGAATGATCATTAGGAATTTAAGCCTTACATACTACGTTAATGATCCCAGTTTGGATGCTTGTGTAAGATGGTAATTTATAAGCATTTATTATTTAAGTTGTTAAAGTCCAATTAGAAAAAAAGCAGAGAATGTGTGCTCTGAGAAGGAATATGACCAGGCTTCAGTGTGGAAACAAACAAAAGCATTCAGATGAAGTATTAACCGGAAAAGCACAGCACAAAAATGAGACATGTTACACCATGTCTTGCTGGAAATAATGTGGGGAAAAACAAAAAGCCAAATACAGGGTTAGTCTGCCATAACTAAATTGACTAAAGCAATTAACTAACTTCTTCCAAGAGAATGCACAGCATTAGAAATGAAGTCGTGATAAGAAAAAATTTCCTTAAAATTGGAAAGCACCCTCTAAATTATGTATTTGCTTCAGATTTCTTCATAACAGCACCCCAGAAGAAAAATGGCATATATAGAAGAGTATAATTAATGTATTGTAGTTAAAAAAAAATTCTCTCTGATAAGAGAAGTGCAAGCTAGGGATGGCTCTCTCTAAAATCTCTGTAAAACCAGTCCTAATTTAGTTCTTTCTTAAGAGCAAGTCCTGAAATGAACTAAAATAGTAAAATCTATGTAACAATTCTAAAGGGTTATTTTTAATGAGTAAGTCTCCCTTCTTGTGGAGTCTGCATTACATAATGCACACTGATTTAGTTGAAATGCTTCTTAGGAAAGCATTCTGAAGAGGTACCTGCTAAAAAGAGGTAAAAAATAATCATAGGCAAGGTCTTCCTATTTACTTTCTATATTTATTCCTAAAGTGAACAGGGAATATCAGGATCAGGACCAATCAAGATGCAATTTCGGTGGCAAAAAGCTCAAGACTGTGTTAGTGTGCAAACTTCTGGTTGATTGCGTTCTTTCAGCTCCTCTTAAGTAAGTAGGATAATTATGGGGAAGTTTCTGGTAGCCCACATTTCCCTTCACTTCTGTTCAACCTTCTGTCCTCTACTGTGTGTTGTCTTGTGCTTTCCTCTGTGGCTGAGCACTCCATCCTGCTTCTATCCTTTGTACTCAGCCCATTCCCAAGAATACCCACCTACTCTTCACCTAACAGATACACAATCATTTCCTTATGATATGCATTTGCCTTTCCTTCTCATAGTCCTACCATCCATCTGTGGGTGACACTCACTGGGGCTTACCAAATAGGTTCCACACATGGATGTTCTTCATCTTTATATGGCACCAAAACCTCCTCATTATTCTTTCTTCCCCCATTTGTCATAATGTAATAAGTTTATTTGTTATGTTGCAGTTAATGCACACAATTGCTGTATAACATGATACACATACATACAGGCTGGGGAACTCCCCTCTTGTCAGCATGGAGGTGGAAAAGGATCTGGGAGTCATTATTGACTCCAAGATGAACATGAGTCGGCAATGTGGGGAGGCGGCTAGGAAGGCCAACTGCACCTTGTCGTGCATCCACAGATGCATCTCAAGCAGGTCCAAGGAGGTGATCCTC